AAAAAAATTTATTTTGGTAATGATCGTCATTTTACACAAAATGAAATAAGCCAATCACAGGGAAAGCCCGCTATGTTATTCTCTGGAATATAAGCACCACCCAAATATAAGCACAGTATGAATTTGCAATATGAAAACAAAAAAAAATTAGAAAAATAAATATAAGCACCATATATATTTCAAATTATTTTTTTTCATTTGATTTTATTTTTATATAATAAATAAAAAATAAGAAATTTTTTTATTTTTTCCAGAATCACCAGACTCCTCTTCTAATTCATCATTTCTATTTAATATTTCACATTCATCTTCCTCATCCCATCATTAGAGATGTTAATCAATTAATTTTTCATAATTGATAATCGATTTTTAATTTGCAAATAGTAGTAGTAGTAGCTTTATTGTTTTATGCTTATGGGTTAGCAACTTTTACATATTACAGTATTAATAAAATAAAAGAATCTAAGTCACATGTCCAAAACATGATTGGATGTCACTTCAATAAATTCCATTTTATTTACAACATAAATTTTAAAATTTTATTTTTTATTATTCTTTGATGGATAAAAAATTATCAACAAATTTTTTGATCAATTTCAAAAAAAGAATATGGTCAGACTGTGAGCTAAGTCTATTTTGTAACAAAGTAATTTGTTGTCCTGCATCGGAGAAAAGTCCTTCTGAAGAAGGAATTGCCAAATATTTTTTGGCTAAAATAGCAAGTATTGGGATTTTTTTTTTTTTTATTATCACACCACCATTTTAATGGTTCATTTTCTTCAACAGGAAGTACTTGGGTATGTTTTTATATGATTCAAATTCATTTCTGTCTAATTCGGCTATTTCTCTAGTTGATACTTCTAAATTAAAATTGTTTCAAATATTAATTAGTGTTCAATGTCGCAACCCAAAAAAGGAAACAAAATGGTTGTAAAGGTGGTTGCAACCAGCAGTTGCAATCATTTTTATATGACGCAAAGGTGGTTATTGTGTGTAACAGCTATGCCAAATTTACACCAGAGCTCATGTACTATATGATGTTTTCATCATATGTAGACCAAATTATCATGCATATAGTAAAAATAAATAAATAAATAGTTCTAATATGATCGGAACTATAAAAAAGTTAAATAAAATTAGTATATATAAAATTTTCTTTTTCACAATCTACTAAAAATCTATAAAAATCTATTATCTTTCACAAAGTATGCTTTGTCTAAAATTCAAGAAATTCTTGTGGTTTTTGTAACAAAGGTTTAAATGATTTAACTTTTACCAACTTTTTTTTCTTAAACTTAGTGAGTAAAACTATACATGAAGTTGAAACTATTTCAACCAGTTGCAGATCTGGTCAAAATAGGGTCGAAATAAGGTCAAAACTGATTTTTACTATGTAGTTGCCTCAAGTCGAAATATTTCAACTTTGTGTATAAGTAAAACACCTGCCAGCAATAGTGTTTGTATTCATGATATTCGATATTCATAAAACGATCGACATGATATTCGAATATCATGAATATTATTCGAATATCATGAATATCATGAATATCATTATATTATATGTGTAACAAAGACAATATTTATAATTTATTAATAAAAAAAAATAATAAAATAATACAAACAATAAAATGAAAAACAAGGAATAGAGAATTATTAAACGAATATTAAACAGTTTAATTGGTTACATTAAAGAATTTCGTTTTAAGAAAATGATTTTGGAAACAAAGTCAGGTGACAATCTATTTCTACTAGGTGTTATATGATTTCCCACATCAGAAAATAAACGTTCTGAAGGAACTGATGTTGCACTCATGCAAAGATATTTTCTTGCTAGTTTTGACATAATAGGCAACTCATTTCTTCTCTCATTCCACCATAGAAAAGGGTCAACAGTTCTTGATGCCATTGGTAAATTAAAATATTTTTCAAATTCACCTTGTTCCTGCTCAAATTGTTGCAAATTATCAAATAAGTCATCAAAAACATTATTTTGACCACTGAAGCTAGTTCTTAGTGGCAACCTTACACTTTTTGGTTGAATAGGACTACTACTAATTTGTTCCTCTTCTTCTTGTTGTTTTAATAGGTTATATTGATCTTTTAATGAATTTAAAATTTCATTACGTTGTACATCACCAAAAAATGTCAATGCTTTAAAACGTGAGTCTAAAGCTGATGCAAAAGCAGCTAAAGAAGAAGGAGTAGACCAATAATGATCTAGTGAATTATATAAAGTTGAGATAATTTTTTCATATAGTCTTGTACTATGAACAGGTCTTGATATATTAATTTTTTTCCTTCTTCTTTCACCATTATTTTCTTCAAATAATTCTACTTCATCTTCATTGGTTTCCTCTAATAATGATGGTAAAGCTTCATCACTTTCTTCTAAAAGTTCATTACTATCTATCAGTTCAATTATTTCATTTTGAAAATCATTATTATTTTCTTCATTCATTACAATTAACTCTAAAAATTTGTTCTTTAGAAAAAAGATTAGTGGTGCAACTAAAGATAGTGTGACAAAATCTCTTCCACTAAGTGTTGTTGTTATTGTATCGAATTGTCTAAGTATTTCAACAAGTTTTATGATTAATTCCCACTCATTATCAGCTAATAATAATTTATCTAATTTTTTTCCATCTTTTTTAATTTCAAGGTCATTATCCAGCATCATATTGGCTTGTAAAAGGATGATAGCTTTTTTGAGAACTAACAACCTCACCCATGAATTATAAGTACTGTTCCAGTGTGTAGCTACATCATATATTGGTCTTAATTTTTCTGGATAATCTTCACTTAATCTTTGTTGTTGTCTAAACAGTGCCTCCAACTGTTTCGGAGAGTTGAAAAATAACACAAGTCTTCTCACCCTTAGGACTAATGCTTTAATATTATCATCACAGTTAAGTGCTTTTTTAATACAAAGTTGTAATGTATGAGCTGCACAAGAAATTCTTTCAATATTTAATGCTTCTTTTAATAATCTAGAACCTGATACCATATTGCTGCCATTATCAGTTGTAATAGCAGTGATTTTTTCTTCTAAGCCCCATTTTGATATTTCTTCCACTAATAAATTTTTTATAATTAAGCTTGTGTGTGGATGGGGAACATGAAATAAATTTAACAGTGTCTCAATCAGTTCAAAGTCTTCAGAGAGCCAGGAACAAGTTATACCCATATATATCCTTTTTTTTGGTGTGAAGCAGTCCAAAAATCCGTGGTCAAAGAAGCAAATTGACAGGTATTGAGAAGTTTGTTTCGAATTTCATCAAATGAAATATTATACAAATGTGTTATTGATTCTTTAATTAGGTTTATATTCGGAATTTTGAATTGGGGATTTAGAGAGCAAATGAATTTTTGAAAATTGTGACTTTTCAAGACATAGAAAGGTATTGAATCTTTTATTAAGAATTCAATTAGATTTTTTAGAATGAAGTTAATTTGAGCTTCATTTAGTGGTGTGTTAGTTGTGTTAGATTGAATCATCTCCATATTCGCATTTACAAACTAGATAAAGAGTGTGATAAATATTCTACATAATCAATTTAATCAATTTAATTAATCAATTTAATCAATTTATCCATAAATACCTTATTTGCAGTTTTTGGATTCACTATACCGTGATGACTTAATAAATGGTAAATAGTATTGGTAGTAGATCCTTTTGTAGCTGTGCTAGGAAAATATTGACCACAAATATCTCCATTTTCTTTAGTAACATTACATTTCCATCCATGTGGTCTTAGGTCTTCACAGTAATTCCAAATAAAGCTTCTTTTATTTGAGTGTGCAGTACTAGAAGTAGAAGCTAATGAATTGATTTCCGCTAATGACTCATTAATATTAGTGGTAGTAGTAAATGAATCATCCTCTTCAATGTAATACGATGACATTTTTTAAATTTTTGTGTATACAAAATGTAGGGAAAGATAAATCGCGAATTTAAAAAAATGAATTTATAATATTTATAATATTTTTTAGACAAAAACGCTTTTCAGGAATGTTGAAAACACCTTCATTTTATAACAATTTTAAAGATGGGACTAAAATAAAAAAATCCTTTGTGTAAAAGATGCTTTACCACTGCAGGATAATTGATAATTTATTTATCTATTGTCAAAAGTCTTTAATCACCACAAAAAAACAGGGTTATAACCACCAACTAAGTTTCCTATTTCTTTGATTTTCATAACGACTACCGTCTGTTCTATATCATAACTTTTTTTCTCAAAGACAGATTTAGAAAATCCGTCTCGGGTTCCATTAAGAATCAATTCAAATTCATAAGGAAAATTATTTACATTGTATAAGTTTTTTTTCCTGTGAATCCAATTGGAAATCAAACATATTTTCTTTAAATTCAATAATTTTCCTCTTGCTAATTTTGATCTTGGACCTTTTGGAAGTAATAATATTGGTTGCCAATTATCATTGAGATAATATTGTAGTAGTTCTTTATATATTTCTTTATCAAATGATTTTTTAAATGGGTTAATTTTATAATGGAAATCAGTTGAAGTAATATGGTTAAATCTTATCAGTGGAATGATGTCTTTTAATATATTTTTTAACATGACAAAATCATTTTCCTTCCACTCTGAAATATATTTTTCCAATTTCTCATTTTGTCCTATTCCCCATTGAATAACACAATTCCAAATCTCAATTTCGTTTACTTCCAAATCATTTCTTTTTAATATAGACATGAGCATAGATTTTTCAATATCATTACAATCATCAGATTTTAAAAATAGACGAGGATTGTCATAAATTAATTCGTCAAAATAATCATGAAGCAAATTGAACAATTGGTGTTTTGATGAAATTTTATGAAAGTTGACTAAATTATATTGAATCCAATTTTTTTGTTCTGCAATTAAATGATTTTGTAAGTCTTCAATTAATTCATTAAAATCCAATTCATCACATGCTTCAAGAAGTTCAAGAGTCTCTTCTGAACTCAAACTGTCTACATTCACAGCTCCATTATAAATATATCTTTTTTAAAAAAAACCACCCAAAATTAAGAAATTAATGTTAAATAAATACTTTAGATTATTAATTAACATAGTAGATTAAATCAATCTTACGTTAAAATAACTTCAAATACATTTGGAGAAATGTTTTCTTTTTCAAATAAAATTATACACTCGTCAGATTTTCTTATCCAATTATTTGACAAAGCAACTTTAAAATATGAAGACCTTGCTTTTAAAATGGTAGAATGAGCTTTAAAAGTTTTAACATCCTGCCCCACTCCAACTCTGATTTCTACATCATAAAATTCTGATTCATTTAACAATTTTGTTAAATCATTTACAAGTTTACAAATATATTTTAATGGCGAAGCATCTTTGTTGGAATTAATGAGGTTATCAAATAAATTATTTATATTTCCCAAGGATGAAAAGCTAGTTGACATCTTTTGAAGGTACTTTTTTAAAAAATAGTACGATTTAAATTGAGTTTTATATAAATGACGACATAAACATTACACAAATAGAAAACTCTTTTTTTATTTTTGAAATAGATCTATAATTTTTTACTAATCATTTATATGATATGGATTATTTTCATCAGGAAAATAAAAATAGTCATCAAAACTCAAAACTATAAATACTGATATACCGGATCTTTACTAAATTGATCGTCATTATTGTATAAAGAGTTACGCGAACATTGTTTTTATTTTTAGAATTTTTAAATTTTCTATTGTTACATTGCTATTTTTATTTATCATTTTACTATATAGTATTTAATTTCTTTATTTAGTGTTTATTTAATTATTACGCGAAGTTTTTTCTTTTAGAGATTAAATAATTGATACATCTAATTAATACGAGTAGCTAGAATCTTGGGAATAATCGAGATGTGGAACAATTAAGGCAATACTGGTTTCTTAAAAAATCGCAAGTGAGCTGCTGATTAAATCAGTCATTTAGATTTGGTGGTTTATTTTAACAATTCAGGACCGTTACACTACCGTTTATTAGAAAAATTTATATAACATGTAACTGTCCCTGTGATTTATTCGTTCGAGTTGACCGTTTGCTCTTTCCAGTTAGTATGAATATTAATTTTATATTCAGTTTAAGCCACAGCACTAAGGATTAGATTTTTAAATTTTTTCGCTTTGTTTTAATAGGGGAGAACTCTATTATATATCTCCGCCAAATCAAAATGGCCAAGCTTTTTTATAATTGTGTGAATCAATATGACAAGTGGCACTCAAGATTATCAATTAAAAATATTTTGTGCGTTTGGCATACATACCAAATAAAAAAAGAATCATTATCTACTAAGATCAAATCAGAATTCAAACCGGAGTATGAGCATGTCCCCAGAAACTAAACTACGCAGAGTTAAAAAAATCGTGTAACAGTAACATTAACACGTCAATATTTTTTATTTACTCGAGTATTTATTCCAATAAATTGTCTTTAAGGTATTAAAATATTATTGTATATATATATATATATATGTGAATAAAATTGACATTTTTGAAATTTTGGCCACAATGCGCAGTAAACGGTGGTTTAAGAGTCCCGCACCATATAAATATTATATATGCATACACAATATATAATATACACTAGCTGGACAAAAGTATTTGATCACGTATTTACATTAATTAGTTAAAAACCTACATAAAAACATCACACGAAATTTATAACATTATGCACCTAGGTTTTGATAATTATATATTCGAAATTTCACGTTGCTAACTTCCAAACATCAAGATTAATAAAAAATTTACATAATAAAAAATTGTAAATTTTATATAAATGAGGGATATTGTTTTGAAGAATAAATATATGAAATTTCGTGTTTCTATCATGTCTAGAAAATTAGTGGTTAAAAAAATAGTAATAACATCTGAATTCGCGATCAATGAAAAATTGATAATCTTTAAAATTTTTTAAGATGACAAAAGTAAAAAATTCGGAATTAACAGTAGTTGGAAGAAGTAAAATTTTGGGTTTTAATTTAAGTGGAGCTTCTATAAGAAAAATTTCTAAGATTATGAAAATTCCATATAGCACTGTCCAGTATACAATCACTCATTATTCTGGTGAGCTAAAAAGTGCACCACGAAGTGGAAGACCCAAAATTTTAGACAAAGACGATCAGAAAAAATTAAAAAAAGTAGTAAAAAATAATAATCGTGCTTCTGCTGACCAGATACGGGAGAAATTCATCGAAGTTAGTGGTGTTGAGATTTCTACAAAAACAATTCGTAGAAATCTCCATGGGCTTGGAATTTATTCACGAGTTGCTGCGGTGAAACCTCTGTTGACTGAAAAACAAAGAGAAAAGAGATTAAGGTGGTGTTTGGAAAAAAGAAGATGGAGTGTCAGAAAATGGAATACTGTAATTTGGAGTGATGAGTCACGATTTAATGTTTTCAGAAATGATGGTCCAAGTCTTGTCTGGAGAGAAAACAGGAGACGTTATGATATTAAGAACATTGTCCCGTCAGTAAAACACGGTGGTGGTGGGGTAATGGTTTGGGGGTGTTTTTTTGGAAAAGGATTGGGTCCTTTGGTTAAGGTGGATGGAAAGATGAATCGTTGGGACTATATTGAAATATTAAGAGAAAATTTGTTACCCTTAGTTGAAAATGAATTTAATAATAGAAATTATTATTTCCAAGATGACAACACCCCAGTTTACACCACAAAAGCTGTTCAAAATTGGATTGTAGAAAACAATATAGAAATATTATCAAATTGGCCTTCACAATCCCCCGATCTCAACCCTATTGAACATCTTTGGGATGAGTTGGAAAGACGGTTGAAAAAGAGAAGCAGTCATTGTAAAAATGTGTCAGAATTGGAAGTTGTATTGAAAGAAGAATGGACCCAAATTCCATTCGAAAAATTAAACAAACTTATTGAAAGCATGCCAAGAAGAATAGAAGCATGTATTTCTAACAATGGCTGGCCAACAAGATATTGAATTTTTATTTAATAAATAATTTCAATTTTGGGCGATCATGAAAAAAAACTTTTTTGAAATTTTTTAATTAAATTTGATACATGAAAGCTAGCGACGTGAAATTTCGAATATATATTTATTAAAACCTAGGTGCATAATGTTATAAATTTCGTGTGATGTTGTTATGTAGGTTTTTTACTAATTAGTGTAAACACGTGATCAAATACTTTTGTCCAGGGAGTGTATCATTAATTCCTAATTTTTGCTTCTCAAATTTATTCAAAAGTGATGGATCTGCAGTATGTAATTTTTTCTCTTCTAAAACAAGAATGCATCTAAAGTCCTTGTGAACAGGTCTAATAAAATATTTGATGTTTTGTTAGTAAAACATAATAATATTTGTTTGTTTATCATACATACAGCATAGTAGCTTCACATGTGCCAAGTGTAACTCTAATATAATACTTAGAATCATTATTGCTTCCCATAACAATATAATTTTGATTCCATAAATCATAAAGACTTTCTATCAAGCACAAAAATATTAATGAATAAATTATTATTCATTATCATTATTACTATTATTATTAGAAAAGATTTCAAATAAAAATCTACTTGCCATAAATGATTTCTAAATCTGTTAAAATCAATGGTATTCCTGCTTCAACACACATCTAAATAATGTCAAATAAGTACTAATTTAAATAATAAAAAAATAATAACAATAATTTTCTGAACCTACCATAATTCTATTTAAAACATTATATGAATAATCATCTTTATCTTCAGGAAATTGTGATCCTAATATTATAACAGGATCCAACTGTTTTTGTTGCAATTCAAAATTTAATATATTCATCATTGATTCACTTTTTCCTATAACCATTAAATGTCTTGCACTTTTATCATCAAAACTTTCTCTGATTAAATTTAAAACAGGTATATGTCGATACAT